GTTAGGGGCATATAGATTGGCTACAGTTAGCGAGACATCATTAAGGACCCCAACCAGAATGAGGAGTCTGCCATAAATACTTTTATATTCCTTCTCACAGTGAAAGGTCCAGTCCGAGGGGAAGAGGATACTCACTCCTCTAGTCTTGTTGTGCGCTAATGTTTGGAAAGCTTGGGGGTATCTAAATGAGGAAAATTTCAGGGGATTAACCACTGAAGAGTGCGTCTCCTGAATACAGACAATGGAGGCGTGTTATTTACGTAATTGGTGAAAGGAAAGTCTGCGCTTCTGTGGGGTGTTAAGTCCATGGGCGATCAGCACATTAAACGGTTGAGAGAGAGTTATCTGTTAAGGCCAGGGGGATTCTGGGGTTAACTCCAGGCATCCATACCCTTCCTGACTTCCTCTGTGCATCATAATTGAGAGGCAATCCACTTGCAGTCCCCTTTACGCCCTTTGCGCCGTTATTAAGGCTTCCCTAAGGGCTGTAGTAGTGGAGTCTAGTGACAATATCAGTAAGGAGGTCTTGCGCCAAGTCCTTGGGTTTAGGAACCTGATGCACTCTATCCAGACGCAGGTCTGCTTTGTCCAAATCTGGCTTTATGGCGAGGAAGAGCTGTTGGAGGTACTTAGTCAATTTGACAGTAGTGTCGGTCTCTGGGACCCCGCGCACGCGGATTATATTACGACGTGAACTGTCCTCCAGTTTTTCCATGAGGCGCTTCTTGTCCACCTTCATCTTCTGGATTTTGTCCACTATTTCATTGTTAGCAAGGCACAACTCATCTGTGCATTCTTCTTGTGCGCTCATACGTGTGCCTATGTCCTGTACCTCTTTGCGGATGTCATCCACTGCTGACTGGAAGTCGGCTCTCATTGTGGAGCGTAGCTCCTGTAACATAGCTGCCAATCTCCTTTCAGATATAGAGATGTTTCCAAGATTCACTGGTAGCAATTCAGTATCAGAGGCTGCTTCTGAGACTTTTGCTGGCTAGCGGGAACTGCCACCATCTTGGTCCGGCCGTTGCCTGTTTTTTTTCCCCTGGCAGAAAAAGTCAGAGGCACACTGGGCTTTTGGAGGTGCCATTGGGGTTCACGAGGGTCTCCCCTATGCTAGCACTCTAGTAGTGCAAATAAATTTCCATTTGCCGCTGATGTTAGTCGCTTTAAGGCCGTGTTGGGCTCGGAGATACTGCACCATGCTTCTGACTTGTCAGACCAGAGGTTTCGCCCAATATTTGACCGTGGATTTTAATGGACATTAAACTTGTCATGATGTAAGTTTAGTGTATTCAAATCCCCATAACATCAAAATTGATAAGAAATAAAACCATGTTTCTCAAATCATAAAGGGGTTAAAGGAAAGCTAATGGAAAAAATATCAGTTTACATAGATGAAAAGAGACTTGCATCCATCAAGTTCAGCCTTCCTCACATTTGTTTTTTGCTGTTGATCCAAAAGAAGGCAAAAAAACCCAGTTTGAAGCACTTCCAATTTTGCAACAAGCTAGGAAAAAAAATCCTTCTTGACCCCAGAATGGCAGTCAGATTTATCCTTGGATCAAGCAGTTATTACCCTACATTGAAAGATTATATCCTTGAATATTCTGTTTTTGCAAGCATGCATCTAATTTAGTATACATAAATATATATTTGCAATTGTTTTTTTTCAGTTGGGGGTAAATCTAAAAACAGCTTGCAAGAGCTGCTGATCTTCCCCAGTCTAGACTTTTTGTGGCTGCTCATTCACAGACTTCCAAATGCAGATCAATGAAAAGTCTTTGCAAGGCATGTGTGCCGAGCAGGTGCCTCTTGAGTTTAGTTACTCTGAGGACACAAATCATCACACAAAGCACTTCAGCAAGCTAAAGTGCTTTAGGTATTTGGAGTGTCTCTTTAACTAAGACATAAAGGATGGACAAATAAATAAACAGAATGGTAATTGGATATAGTTCAGCTACTTGTTGAGACCATTGGGGTAAGTGTATAAAATCTAAATTTGTAAACTTGAAATCCACAAGGCTATGTATGTTTTAAAGATGTAATAAAACAGTTAGTGAGAGAGTTGAAAATCCAGCTCATTGAATTTTCACCTACTTTAAAGATCTGTAACTTTATTCCATGTCCTGGGAGAGAATTATATTGTGATCTCATATTCACCGGGCTCAAGGTTTGAGTGACAGGTGACGAAGAATTCAGCTGCTTTACACTTCCTTCTCTTGGATACAGTTCACATCCTGCAATTAAAGACACTAAGAGAATCACATCACAATTTGAAACTACACATTTAGAAATGTCACTTGCTGAAAATTTAATGACGCTTCAAGAGACTGCAAATAATTCATGAGTAAGTTAATAGGCCAGATAGAAATGACATAGACAAATTATGTACTTTCTTATCCGCCTTCACAGAATCTCCTAATAATTCAGATGTAGAATGGCGAGTTCAGGAGATAAGTAACAAGGAGAACACTCGGCCATTTAGCTTGTGTATGTCCAGCACTAATATGAAAGGGTAGGGGGAATTTAAACAGCAATTTTGCTTTGCTTTTTCTTCTATTTTATGACTTCCTAATTCCAAGAAAAAGAACTTTCATAAATAAATATTAAAATATGTTATATAATGAGATAAATGTTTATAATGTGCTATAACATTAAAGGACCACTATAGTGCCAGGAAAACATACTCGTTTTCCTGGCACTATAGTGCCCTGAGGGTGCCCCCACCCTCAGGGACCCCCTCCCGCCCGGCTCTGGAAGGGGGTAAAAACTTACCTTTTTCCAGCTGGAGGCTCTCCCTCCTCCTCCACGCCTCGTTACTCATGCCCATGCGTTGAGCCTAAGGGCGCCCATGGTCAAGAAAAGCATTACAAAGCACCCATAAACTAGCTGTGCTCTCACTGTAAATCACAGTGAGAAAGCCATAAGCCTCTAGTGGCTGTCAATGAGACAGCCAAAGAACAGGGAAAGGTTAACCCATTCATAATATAGCAGTTTCTCTGAAACTGCTATAATTATGAAAAAATGGGTTAACCCTAGAAGGACCTGGCACCCAGACCACTTCATTAAGCTGAAGTGGTCTGGGTGCCTAGAGTGGTCCTTTAATAGTTATATAGGTACACTAAAGCATATGTAGTGGGATGTTACCTGATTAGGCCAGCATAGTCGTAAGAGAACTTCATTAGCTGATTCCACGCTTACTAGATGATCTTAGTAAAGGGTTATTGCCTAACATTCATTTTAATATTTTCTGCTTCAGCAAGATTGCATGCATCCCATTTTTTGTTTGCTTATTTTTTGTTGTTGTCAGAAATCTACTCTGCCGGGGCAGACTTCACGATGCACAAATAAGAATCGGCTAGTATATATATATATATATATATATATATATATATATATATATTATTTATTTATTTATAAAATATTTTACCAGGAAAGATACATTGAGATTTCTCTCGTTTTCAAGTATGTCCTGGGTCCACAAATCATTGCATTGTTACATTAGGTACAACAAAATACAAAAACAATATAATACAAAATTTAACATAGAACAGGCAGGAAATATATAATCAACCATGACACGTGCATTCTGTTTTGAGGTATGTAGAGAGGGATCTCTTAAATGACTTTAGGCTTAGGGAAGATTTTAAATTGTGCGGGAGGTCGTTCCACAATTGCGGTGCTCTGTAGGAGAAGGAGGATCGGGCCGCTTTCTTTTTGTATTGAGGTAGACTAAGTAAAGTGCTTGTACTGGATCGGAGCTTATAGAAAGTGGGAACAGCTAAGGAAAGCATTTTGTTCAGGTAGGGTGGGAGTTTCCCAGAGAAGCTCTTAAAAACAAGGCTGGAAAGATGAAGGGTGCGTCTGGATTCCAGCGACAGCCAGTTTAGTTCCTTTAGCATGTCACAATGATGGGTCCTGTAATTACATTGTAGCACAAATCGGCAGAACGAATTATACAATGTGTTGAGTTTATTAATGTGGGATTGCGATGCAGACGCATATACTACATCCCCATAATCAATGATTGGCATCAGCATTTGCTGTACAATCTTTTCCTTTACTGTAGGGCTTAGGCAGGCTTTGTTTCTGTACAGGGCACCTAATTTTGGATAAAGTTTAGATGCAAGCTTTTCTATGTGCAGGCCAAAAGATAGATTGGGGTCTAATATCATACCCAAGTATTTGAAAGAGTGGACTGCGGTCAGTGTGCCATTTGAATTTGTTTTGATGGATAGGTGGGGATTGTGTAATTTGTGCAATTTAGGTACTGTTCCAAAGATCATTGTGACAGTTTTGTCAGTGTTCAGGAAGAGTTTGTTTTTTGCGATCCACTTTTCTACCTCTGTAAACTGGTCTTGGAGCAAAGCCTCAAGTTGCGGTAGATTGGGTTTGCTCGCATAGATTACCGTGTCATCTGCGTACATGTGTACATTTGAGGATTGGCAGACATTAGGCAGATCATTTATAAATAATGTAAATAGTAGGGGCCGAGAATGGAACCCTGGGGAACACCACACGTGACCGGGAGAGGGAGGGAGTCACTGTCAGAAATGGACACATATTGCGAGCGATCCGATACATACGATCGAAACCAGTTTAAAGAATGATCACCAATACCTGAGTTTTCGAGTTTGTGCAGTAGAATGTCGTGGTCTACTGTGTCAAAGGCCTTAGCAAAATCAAGGAAAATAGCTCCAGTTAGGGCTCCTTGTTCCATGCCAGTTTGGATGTCATTGCAAACTTTTAGGAGGGCAGTTGTAGTGGAGTGATTCTGGCGAAAGCCCGATTGATCAGGGGTCAGATAGTTTAATTGTTGGTAGTACTCACAAAGTTGCGTATGGACACATTTTTCTAAGATTTTTGACAATACCGGGAGCAATGATATTGGGCGATAGTTAGAAACCAAAGTAGTGTCACCACTTTTATGGATAGGCACTACTCTCGCAGTCTTCCAAAGTTTGGGTATGTATCCAGACACCAAGGATTCGTTAATTAGAGTTGAGACGGGTTTAGCAATTGCCGGCGCACTGAGCTTCAACAGCATTGCTGGGATTTGATCAGGTCCGGACTGGTTTTTCATTTTTAGATTATTAAGATGTTTTTTAATGACACTAACAGGTACAGGTCTAAAATTAAACTTATCTATATTGGGCCTTTGCAAATTTAGTGGGGCCTGATCCACATTTGTAGTTTCAGGATGCGTGTCATTTATTAGCTTGTCAATCAGGGCAGTAGAGCATCCGACAAAATAATTGTTAAAGGCATTTGCAACATCTAAAGGAAGTTGCAGGGTTTGGTTACCCACTTTGACAGTGGAGGGTTGGGAGTGGATTGGGGGAGTTTGTAGTTTATTTATGACTTTCCAAAAGTTTCTAGGGTTTGAGATGTTACTGTTCAGATTTTCATAGAAATATTGGGCCTTGGCCAGTTTTGTCTGTTTTGTGCATATATTTCGCCATTGTCTATATGCACCGTGATCATTCATAGAGCCAGTACGCTTAAACTTTGACCACAAAGAATCCCGAAACTGGTACATTTGGATGAGGTCAGCTGTGATCCAGTTCATATGCGCTCCTTTTACCCTCACCTTACGCAGCGGGGCATGCAAATTCCAGATTTGAAGGAGTTCAGACTGAAAGTATTCAACAGCACAGTCTAGATCTGGGATAATGTTTAATCTGTGCCATGAGAGATTCTTGATGTCATTTAAAAAGGATTCAAGATTAAATTTTTTGAAGGACCTAGTTATTTTAACCTTGGGAGAGGATTTAATAGCCTTTATTTTGCGCACGCAGTACACTAAACAATGATCACTGAACGTGTTGGGGAGAACACCAACCTCCTGGATTCTATCAGGAGAAGTGCAGAGAATCCAATCTAGCAGGGTATGTTTATGGC